ATGTCTGTAAGGAACTTAAGGGACATTAATATTCAGCTAATTATTAATAATTAAGGTCAGCCAGCTCTTGCTTCCAGGCTGATCCACAAATCTTCACAAGCTCATATACAGTGTGATAATAACTAATCTGAGTAACAGTATCTTTCAGCCCAATTATGAGCCCATCCCATCCTCATAAGTGGACCCACAGGGAGTAGGTTTCAAAATCGAATCCATGTTTTAACAAGCAAAACTTTCAATCTGTGAAGCTCATAATTACGCAGACCTTATTTAAAGTTTTTACAAAATATAAGTGACAGCTGACCAAGTCTGGCTGATGCTTCTGTCACATTTTCTCCTTCGGCTGTAAAGTGTACAGACATAGACACACACAGACAGAGACACAATGTGGTTCACAGTGCTCACAGAAATGTCTCTCACAGAAAGCAAACATAACTCGATGAAGCTGCACAGTCTTGTTAGGCAAACACACACACACACACACAATGACTGGTTGATACACCCGCTGGTTCTGCTCCCTCTCTCTGTCAACACTCCATGAGACTTAATCAAACTCAAACAATGTTAAGCCCCTTGTCAACCTCTCAAGCTCAGCTAAGGAGGACGGCAGACATTAAAATCTAATTTATTAATTGTCCTGAATGTTTTATGACAAGGGTCCCTAACTGCTGGCCCAAGACTAGACCTTAGATTGTTGGGAAGCAAAGCCATGAAAACCAAGTTGAAATCAAGAGAGTTTGTGTAATCGCTGTCTATGCACTGCACTGTGTTTTGTTGCTTAGCTTCCTCTTTATACGCCCACTATTCATTTTACATTAAATTAAAGCTTTTATCAGTTAGGTCACTTTTAGGGGAAGAGGCCACTTTCTGTCAGTAAGCATGCGAAAAGAAAACATGAAGAGGGCACTAAGACTTTATTTTGGTATTTTTTTGCTGGGCTGATCAAAAACGTATCTCAAATAGTTAGGGTATTAAAGACAGACACTAAGAAGAAAAATGCTAACTAAAACTGAAATTGAAAGTTCCAACCATAGACAGTATGGTACCTGGATATAGAGTCTGTAAAATCACTGATTTGTCTGTGAAGCAAAGTTTTGAAGCTATTGGCAGCAGTCACCATGTTGGTATGCCTCTGATTTGTCAATCTTGTAACCGTAGTATCTTCAAAATAAAATAAAATAAAAATAAATAAAATAATAATGATGATGATCTAACCCTGAACTTTTCAAACCAAAATTGCTTTGGCTCAGAGTGTACTTGTTCCTTAAGCAAAAACAAGGGTAACTGCAGTTTTTAGCACACAATTGGTTGAAAGTTTGGCTATGCTTCACTGAAAAAGATACTTACAATGCAAGAAAGTGAACATGTCCAATGAGACAAACACAGCATAAATTTGAAGGAATGGATCAAATTCAATGGGCTGCAGTCCTGTTCACCAAAAGGGTTAGTTATGCCCATCTTGCATTTATACCAAGATTTTCAAAATTAAGTACAAAAGCACATAATTTGAAATAGACAACAACAAATATTTGAATATGGAAAATTGACTACACTGCTCCACCACTTGTTCAGTTCATCTCAGTACATGCTCTCAGTAACACAGGTGCATGTGACACCAAATTTTGTTCCTGGTTAGAGTCATGACTGAGCAAGGAGATCCGGAAATGGTTGCCATATTTAAGAGAACTTCTAAGGCCTGTGCACCATATCAGAGTTTTTCTCACACTGTTGAGTTTGGTTTTGATTTTTGAGCATTTTCGGAGTAGTTCAGGTTGCGTTTTGTTTAACTGAACTTTACACATCTTAGAGAGAAGGAAGTGTGTAATAATCCTTCCTCCCCGCTGGTCTGTCAGAAATGTGGCAGCTGCTGTCTGCTCTGTGTTGTCAAAAAGGTGCTTGCCTGCTTAATGATAGGGGGATATATTCCTCTTGTCTCCCTTATTCTTCTCTCTTTCTCTCTCTCTCTTGACAAACTATTCCCCATCACCTACCCAATCTTTGTCTCGTTTTATGTGAAGACAAGACAAGAATAAGAAAACAAAATGAGAAGACAGATGAGACCAAATGCGGTGTGACACAAATTTGTTGGTAGCCATAGATAAGCATCAAACAAATGTTCCACCTAGGGTGATGGAAGACGAAACCCCCCCAAAAAAGAGGAAAAATAGAGGGAAAGTAATTGGGTGTAAGGAGCAAAGACTCAAAGAGGGAAGGGATTTACGTGCAAGTGGGAGAGAGGTGAGGACAGGGGGGGAGGGTGACAGTAGCTAAAATGATGACCACCCATGAGCTCCTCTAATATGAGGTGCAAATGGATCTACCTTTTATCCCAGCAATGCACACACCATCCATAAAGCCCTGTCAAACCAAAGGGGCAAGCTCATTTATGCTGCAAACACACACACACACACATACGTATGCACACACACACACACACACACACACTTGCTTGCATGCAGACACGAGTAGCAAGCTCATTTATGCTGCTGTTTATTACCATTATCACCCGATGAGAGAATGTGAGCAAGAGCCAGGCAGCATTTCGCCCCTTGACGCCGATCATCATCGTCTGAGTCTCAGGTGTTTATCGAGCTGTCACTTCACAGGAGGCCCAGCAGGCGCCCAACACTCCTCCCCTCATCGTACCCTCTCTTTTTCCTCACCCTATCTGTTGCACTCTTGTGTTGTTCCCCCTCTTTCTCTCCTCTTGTTATTTTCTTTCTTTAGCTTTATACATCTGAGGCTTATTTCCCAGCCACCTCCTCTTTTCCTTGTACCCTTCTTTCTATTTAATCTCTTCGACTTTGCATTTGGTTACTGTGGTGACGACGGCCCTCTCGCTTTGCTCATATCTGTGTTTACAGATCTGTCTATTTCCATGGCTTACTCATGTGGATTCAAAGGGGAACTGTGCTGTTTAAGCTTTTAATGATCTCATAAAATGTTTTTTTCCTGTGGTTCAATCACTCCCGCATGCATTTTTATCACTCAGGTAAAAACATCACGGGCCTAATTTAAGTGTTCGGCTTATCAAAATTCAGCTACTAGGCCATTTTTGAGCCCATTACTTTGAAAGGCAATTACTGCGTGTGATAATTACGTTAATGGACAATTAAAAGCGACTAACTTTATCATGGTATAATTGGGGATCGACTAAGCTTTCTGCATCGGCTGCTATTAGGGGAAAAGCTTGTGCTTGAGGCGATAAACTGTGACTTCATTTTATTTGAAACTCTGCTTCAAAGGGTTTGACTGTTTTAAATTACTGAGACATCCACATAGACATATGAGGATAAAATATCTAACAAAGTTTTTGTTTTTGTGGAACTTTCTATAGTCAGTTTGGGCAAAATATAACTCTCAGAAGTAGGAAAACCTTGGCAAAATTTCAGCTAGGCATTGGAGTGACTGGAGCTTACAGGGATAGTTCAGTTTTTTGAAGTGGAGTTGTATAAGATACTTGTTAAAAGTAAGTGAACTGTATTATCCTCGGTGGATCCTGGTCAACTTGGTTCCTTTTAGAGGACCTGAAACAGAAGTCAGGGTATCAACTGCTGCAGACAGGATTCACTCTATCATGTAATTTAGCTCAGTCTAATAAAGTCCAACCATAGACTATGTAGAATGGATGTCATCTGCCTCTTCGCTGGGTGAAGCCACCCCGAGAACAGCACACTCTGGCAACGGGCTGCAGTATAGGTCATAAATCCGCCTCCGCCAGCAAAGCTTATGAAGCTGTGGACAAATTTATTAAACTGAATATACATTTTTCTCCCCCCTGCTTGGGATGTTGTCATGTAGTTACTATAAGATTGGTTTGTGCTCAAATCCTATTTTTTCTGTACAGCTTCATTTTTAAAAGTTATTAGGGGGTTCATGTTTTCTATGATTGACACTTGATACAGCCTATGGGCGTACGAAGATTGTGTAGCTCACCCAGGGGATACGCTGTTTGAGTCAGGCGTCATCACAGCAACTCTCAGCGACTCTCCAGCCGAATGGGCACAATGCTACAGTGCAATGTTGGTTTCAGGAAGTGGAGAAAAAATGCAGAATTATCGAGAGCTTTTGGGCCTCATATCCATATACTGGCGGAAGGCTAAACCAAGTTGTCCATAGTATATACAGTCTATGAGTCCAACCCAAACAGTCATTTTGGTGCAAGTATACGCTCAATTGGAACCATTGTCAGCACCTCAACTTACTGTCAGAAAGCTCATTCACTTTTGGACTAGTGAATTGTCTGCAGGACACTTTTCTGTCTGTCCATAAGATAGTAGTCAACTTGGCCTCTTGCTCATAAACTGATAAATGGAAAATTTTGATGTCTTATCATCTCAATTTAATGTAATTTTAAGCACAGATGCCCAAGATTACCTGGTGGTCAGAATAACGCCTGGGTCTTAGTCAGCAGTGGTTTGCACACCTATAGGTATAAGCACTAAACACACCTGAAGACCTGAGTAAATACTCAGGTCTTTTCAGCCATCGGTTACCATACTCCTTTTAATTCAAATGTGTCAAAATCTCTGTCCTCTTTTCTTATTGTCCTCTACTCCTGTTCAATCCAGCTCCTTTCCTCCTTCTCATTTTCCATTTTAAGGCATTGTAAGACCTTCCCATTGTTCCTCATTTTTTCTTACTTTCATTTCATTACTTTCTCCACTCATTTCTCCTCAATCGTGTTCTCATCACCACTGCATCCCACCAAGGTACACAGTTGATCTCATCTTCATCTCATCATCTGTTTTACCCTTTCTACATCCTGCAATTCATCTCCCATCCTCTAATCCTCTTCTTTTACACCTCCCTGTCTCCATCTGTTCGCATCTCTTGTTTCTGTTCTTGCTTCCGTCTCTGTGGGTCCCATGGAGCCCACATAGGGGAAGAAGTATTTGCTGCCAGTGTCTCTCGTTTGCTTGTCCCACACTTTTCAAGTCCCTGGAGTTTCACAATCTCCTCTCCTTTTCTATCCTGGTCCCCCTGTCTCTGTCCCTCCCTCAACCATCCTCTTCCCCTCCCTCCCCTCCCCTTCCACTCTCTTTCCCTCTCCGTTCTTGTGCTCCCATGGGTGCAGGTGGTAGAGGATGACGCTCTGCTTTGATTGCTGCATGGCTGCAGGCATTCCCGGGGCAGAGTAACTGTGGAGCTTCAGTCTGCTGGATGTAGCGGTAAATAATCCCGACTGGGGAGAGAGGAACAGAGAGATGCTCTGGAGGGGAAAAGGGAAGGAAGGGAGTGAATATGTGTGTATTGGTGGGAAGTGGATGTGTGCATGTTCATGCCTTTGGAGCAAGATTTTGGGATGGATGGAATTATGATCACCACTTTACTTTTTCTATTAGAGAGCAAGCACATTTAACTGCATGTCAGCAGAAGACATGGATGTTATCTCGTGTTACTTCTATGATAATGCATGTTTTAACAATTACATTATACAGGTACCTCCATTATTTAAGTCACTTGACTTTCATTTGCTTTGACTGTAATGACAATGATTGCCCAAAGCACACATGTGAGTGTTATAAACTATGACAGACTTCAAACCCCTTGTTTAAGCTGGAGAGTATAAGCTGGAAAATGCTAATGAATTTTCCTCAAACTGTGACTTTGGAGTGCTGATTTACATTCACGCCGCTGCTGTTAGGAACCTGCAAACAAATGTTTTATTCATCACTTACTCGCAAGCAAAGTCATCTTTACGCTAATCAAATGGTAGAAGAGACTTAAAGGTGACAAAATTTCTATTAGATTATTAGGATCTTCACAGGGTGGCCCACCTGTTGCCTTTTAGAAGTTATTTTATTTTTTTAAGCTTTTTAATAAGACAGTGTTTGAAGTTTAAAAAGAAGCGTAAGTGGATATCTTTTTTGTTGGGAGGTTACCTTTATGGCCCACAAACTTGAAAGAATATGAGATGTGAAGAATTGTTTTGCATCAAAACTTCTGTCAATCAAGTATTTAGTCACTGAATCAAAGTGAAGGCCCACAAAAATGAGACAATCTATCTATAACTTCTGACTTCTTATTGCAACTGGTGGAGTGCTTCACTCATGTTATTAAAAAGGCACCTCAGGGATGACTGCCACTTTAACACAAAGACTATCTAAACTTCATATACACAGGACAGTACACCCCACCACCTCAAGCCCAGCTCAAACCCTTTCTGAAAAACTAACTTGAAAAAAAAAAAAGTCTTAAATTGCAATGGCCATCCAAGATTACGTGTGGTAATATGACTCGAAATATCAGACTCCAGCCTGCAGGGGCACCGCTGAGCACAGACCTGCGGGTTGTCTCTTCGCTAAATTCATTCAAAGAAATCAGTGTAAGACTTAACTCATGATTATAATATGTTTTAAAGCTGTTCAACAAGGGAGCAGAAAAATGTCCCCGCTGGGTCAGAGTCCACTATTGGTGAATGTGTCCTGTGGTGGGTCCACAGTTAGATAAGTATGCAAGTACTCATACACACAAACACTTGCATTAAAAATTCAAACATAATGACTGTGAAAAATCTGCAGATCAAAAAGCAAAAGTAAAGGCAGCCTTTATGAAAATCAAATCTTTAGATATCTTTATCCACTTAATTTAGCAAAGAGCTCTTTGACAGTTATATCCTTTCTGTTCATCACTTTGAATACAGATACTGAGCATGAGTTCAATGAGGACAAATGTGCAGTTACATCTCAAGTGCTGAAAAGATGTTTGAAACTATTCTGTCCTGTAACAGTCAACACTTTTAGCAAAGCTTCAGAGAAGTATTTGTAGACTCCCTCATGCATGCTGTCGATAGAAACTTAATTGAAGTGACTATATGATGTCTCAACCACAAAGTAATAAATCCCCAAATATTTTTCTACAGTTGCATATGATGATTATTTCTGTACATATGTGTCATTTTGAAATGTTGCATCAGAAATTCAAAATGGTGAATGGAGGAGTTGATGCACCACAAACCGCAGAAATCAGTGTTGCATCCTTCAAAGACACCAAAAGACATGTAGCCTCACATGATACTGATAATGACCACTGTATTTTATACTTCCAAAGATTTCAAGGATGGTGTGGTACATATATACGCAGTGGCTTTAACGTCAGAAGTGCCCAGTCTTGAAGAAATGGCTTGAACAGCTCACTCTACAGCTCTTTTTCTCTATCAGTGTGAGGAAGGAGCTGAGGGGTTTCAAGAGGATTTTCAAGAGCAAAACAAACTGCCAGCTCAATCTCCTTCAGAATTTGCTGAAGCTGTTAAGGTGGAAAGGGAGTTCAGTGGCTCTCAATCTAAAAAAAAAGAGCCCCCTTTCAGTTTTTTTTTTTTTTTTTTTAAAAGGTTGAACATTTCTGATGATAAAACCTTGTGCAACATCTTGGTCCACACAAGTTGGTAGGACCAAGACAAACTAAAATCCAAGAATCCGTGTCTTGTTGTGTATAACAAAAAAGATGTGTCATGCCTCTTCGTATGTATGAGGGTGAATTCTTTTATTGTTAAACAACAAATGACAGCAGAGTCTCTATAAAAAAAACAACAGTGGCTTTAAGGGATGCTTGACATTTTGGGTCTGCGTCCAAGATGTTGCACACAAGGTTTTGTCACAATATGCAGGGAAAGTGACAATTCAAGCACTTTTGTAAAAAGCAGGGTTTGTAGGACATGTGTATGAAAATCAAATTGAGGGTAACTAACATTCTTGAAAAGGTAAAACGATAAAATTATTTCTCTGACTATTGGAAAAATTCAAGGTAAAGGAAATAAAAACCTTAACTGGGCTGCTACTGGTCCACATACTTAAGGGTTTCAAATACTGTCACGCTGACTTTCAAACATAAATTAATCACAATGTCCGCACTAGTGGGCTGTAAAGTGCAATCTATAGACGTTTATACAGTCCGTACAGCTTCACTTTGTGAAGTAGTCAGGAAAAAAACTGAAAAGAGGTTATATGTGAACGTCCTTTCTGTACAACTTGATTGGTGACACGTCCATTTTTCTCTGTGCTTTCTCAAAGTAGCCAATGCTTTTATTCTCACAGCAAATGACAAGCTTGATGCTTGCTCCTTAAATGCACAGAGTACAGTAAGTCATACATACAGTATGTGGGCTGTTCAGTAGGAGTTCTTACATACCCTAATGGTATATATGTGCTGTCTGAAGGGAAAGAGCTTTGGAATTATTTGCTCTATGTTGTTCTTAACTCAGATGCAGAACTTCAGTATGAATTGCGGAGCTTAAAAAGATTATCACATTTTCATTATTTCTACTTTCTACCAGCCTCACAATTCAAGTCAGTTTTTTATTCTTTCGGTCACTTTTCAATTGTGTGTTGGTTTGATTTCACTACTGATCAAAAGGACATTTTATGTCATGATAATATGATGTTTCATCCAAAAACCTCAGAAAATATGTTATTTATCAAAAAGCGCATTATTCCATTAGTTGAGGGGGAAAAAAATGACACCATCCACTTATTATGTAGTAAACATTAAATAAAACTGTCAAGTACAGAATGTTTAAAAAAAGTGTAGTTAAGTGCCTAGTGTCTATGTTGGGGCCCCAGCTGTGCCGCCCCAGTGAGAAAATCTGGACGCGTCCCTGTATGTCAGCACAGTGAAAACATGCAGAGGGATGTCATTGTGGCCAGGCTGTCAATTTTGCTTGACGAAAGCTGCAGGTAATCATGTATCTCTTGATTCATAAACAAAGAGAAATCCTAGCTGAATCACAACTTCTGTCCTTGAAAGACAGTAAAGTGAGTCTGCAGTTTAGCGGACAGCTGGCTCTTGTAGGAGGAATGATTCCAGGATCGTTAAACTTGATATTGAGTTGGGAAAAATATATAGCAGTGTATTGATGAGTCAGTTATTTTACTCAGCCCAACTTTTAATTTGATCTTACAACATTCCCATCTAATTTCATTTATCAAATACTTGTGCTGTCATTTACAGCTGCTGTGAGCAACTTATTCCTTGACTGAACTTTCTCTATCAAGCACTGTTTACTCATACTGATATACCAAAATGGAAGATTTCTAACTGCTCACACCTCCTTTTGTGTGTATTTATTTTTTACCAATTCATCAGTAGATCCAGTTTTTCAGTTAAAGACTGAGGAAAATTTCTTTGTACTGGAACTTATTTTCCTTGCCGTGTGATATTTTCAAACAAAAGCGATACCTGTGACCCCCTCAGTAACTTATTTCGGGTTTTTTTACTGCAGTTTAAAAAAAAAAAAAAATTCTCTCCCTGACCAAGAAAACAAATCAAAGTTTTGGCAGATTGTGAAAAAAATCTCCCTCTCATAAATCAAACAAAACAATAATCTATCACCACTGTTCAGACACTAGATGATACACTTATTTATTTATTTATTTTTTTGTATTTGAAGTGTTTTCAATGCTGAAGCTTATTCTCTACATTAATACAACACGTCGTCCGTATTTCCCCTTCACAGTCTGAGATTCATAGAAATCTGAGAGCCACTGATGACATGAAGGGTCGTCAGCTGAGCTGCAGCTGCCACCTCATCAGCTCACACAAACATGGACTCTGCTTCATCAGAGACAGGGAAAGGTCACTGGAGACAGCACCAGGGGCTTCTACATGTTCACTTTTCTGTTTCTTACAACTCTCAGCTATCACTTGATTTTGACTTAGAAAAACCTCCATGCTTGCCTTGAGTGTGTTTGAAGCCATCTGTCTATTACCCACTCACACCAGGATCACCCGAGGCAGATTTTTCTGATTCTGGGACATCAGCCCTTCTGCCTTGTAATTTATTTATTTATTTTTTTAACTTTCAATTTTTCTTTGTCTATTGCTTCAAAGAACCCTCTGATGCATTTCTTCATTGTCATTTACTTTTCAAAATCTGTTTATAAGTGTATCCAAACTCAAAATTATCCTGAAGCTCTGTATTTGACTTCACCAACCAGCTGGTTCAGGAGTAAGATTATATTAGATTGGTTAGGCAGGTTGACGGACAGGCTCATGTTTTGATATAGATATGCTTATTTTTATGTTGGGTGTTACCAGTAATATAAAAATACCATTCTTGCTCTTCCAAATTTTACAGAAACACCTGAAAAGATTAAATTAAAAAAAATCAGGGGCCTATCTCCATCACAGTAAAAATGTGTAAAAATTTAACCTCTGAGCGTAAACTCTTTGAGCATTGTTGAAAAA